AAATGGAAAAGTGCATGAAGTTTAAACTTGCATAGAACATCAGGGGTTGATTTTATTCAAATATGTAAACCTTCTGTGTAAAGTAAGTAAACTGCCTCCTTAATTATGAAGACTGCAGGGAAAACAGAAGATTTTAGAACAGTAGACAATAGAAGCTGTCAGGGATACAGGAATGGTACCTCTGGTATGGCCTTGGATTAAATGCAAGGCTGTAACTGCAGGGCAGGTTGGGATTATGAAGTCCTCTGCCAAGTCTATGCAAATAATAATATTGATAGAACTACAGTAAGAAAGAGAAGACCTCAGGATCTTAGAAGTGAAATGAGGAAGAATAATATCCAAGTGGTTGGTTTGGGGTTTGGGGTTTTTTTTTGACGTTATTCTTGTCTGGTGGCAGGCTCTGGAAAGCAGGAGACCTGAGTAGCCAGAGGGAGTCTGTAATTGACTTGAAGCAAACTGCAGCGGTTGTTTTAATGAAGTACTGGTTCTAGGAGGGCGATACCAAGGAGGGCTAGGCAAATGGGGCAATGTTATTTCTGTCAAGTAATGGAGGTAACGTCCCTGATCTGGATGCAAGCGTAAGGTAACACTACAAGGGGAAGTGCTAAAGAAAAAAAAAATCTATCCAACCCTATGTTGTTCATAAATGGAAGTTGCTTTCCCCCCGACCCCGGACACCAAATTCAGTGGGTTATATGTCAATGACTACAAAATGAGTACCTAAGATTTTCATTGAAAACAGATTTGGTAAAATCAGCATGATTGAAACCTGTTGGGATAATTGCACTAAAGGAATATAAAACTAGGTAGCTACTTGTGTTTAGGAAGGATGAGTAGATGAGAGAGAACTGGACTATGATCCCTGCTTGTTGTAGAGTTTTCAGTAAGTTTGAACCATGGGATGTCAAGTAAGTGAGGATCATTATGCTAACCATGAAGTATAAGTTTTGGATCAAGTGCAATTCCATTAGAAACCATTGGGGCAAATGTGATGTGTTCAGTACCCTCATAAGCATATGTCTAAAGGTATTCTGAGGATTTTGTTTGGGAGGTCTTATGCAGCCAGTTCTGACGTGTACCTTCATATTTTAATTTTGGATTTTCTTTGGCTCATCGGATATGCTTATGATACAGATGTGAATTACAAGATTGGAAGTTCTTAATAGACTAAGTGACCCCATGATCATGATGGGTTTAACATTAGCATGAGCAAATCGTGTCCTAACTGCTAATAGATATATTTGATGTTTCAGAAGGATTTCACTATGACTAACTTACTTCCCAAAAGCTGAAGCTGAAGGGGGGGAAAATGAGCAGAAGTTCTTGAAAGCAGGCAGAAGGTAATGGAAAGTGAGATTCCTTTTTTTATTAAAAAACAAAATTAAACAAACCCAAACCAAATGAAAAACAACCAACTCCCCCCCCCCAAAAAAAAAAAAAACCAACCCCAACCCAACAACCAAAAAACCCACTGAAATACTACAGTCTAGAATGAGGATGAACTTAGAGGGAAAGGCCCAATCCAGTGTCTAGCAAAAGAAATGTACATGTTCACATTATTCTAGGTTGTTTAGTCAGTCATGTTTCATAACAAACATGAAGGGATGAAGGGAAATCACCTCAGAAATTGTGTGTATAAAATATTGATAATAAAACTAAAGGGATGGATGACTGTGCAGAAAGGAGGAGAGACTAAAAACAGGAACCAGACAGTCCTCAGTGATTAAAGGAGAGGTATTGAAGAAATGTTGATTTGGGTAAAAAGTGCTTTTTTTTGGGTTTTTTGTTTTCAGATGAGCTAAGTCAGAGCCAGGCACCCAGTGTCTGTTAAGTCTCAGAAGTATGAAGGCAATGCCACATTTGTTCTGAAAGCATGAGAACCCGTGTTCTACGTTGCCATATGGCTTTGGAGATCCACATAGAAAGACATTAGCAAAAACCTCTGTCCTGAGCAGCCTGTTAAGTGCAAAGACTGGGGTGCCTTGATCATTCAGAGAACTCTGCAGTTCTGCCTAATGTTCTCTGCCCTGTGGTGGTTGGTGACTTCTCCAAATTCCTCCTCCTGTTTCTGTTCGTCTCTTTACTTCATGCCTGTCAGCTCATTCCTGTACCCTGCTGCATGTCCCTTATCCCCCTTGCCTTTCTGTTTAATGTCTCCTACATAACCTTTTCCAAAAAGGCAGCAAAGCCATGAAGTGCAATACTCGTTGCTATTGCTGTGTTTGCTCTGCCTGTGTGTTTCAAGTGTAATGAATTGAAATAAAACGTTATGAGGATAATAACTCCTCAAGCTGGTGAGCCTGGAGTTCTTCTCCAAGTCTCTAGGGGGTTAAATGAGTGTTTCCTTGACCTGGTAATGTTAACTTTTAATAGTCCTAGACAGAGAAAAGAGTTGATCTGGACCAACATTTATAATAGCCAAGCCCTGTTAAATTATATGGCAGTTAACCTAACATCCATTATTGTAATGGAGTAATTCATAAAATATTTATCCGTTAGCAAATTAAAAGCTAGAGGTATAATAAGTGACGATTGACAAGGTTTTGTGGAAAATATCACTATTCAAACAAACCTGGTAATTTGTTGATGAAAGAAGCTGTGTGAATGTATTGTTAAAGCACGCATTAAATAGAGGAATTGGCTAATTGGTAATCAGCAATGAATCCATATGTCTCTACTCTGATTTCCAGGGGATTTCCATCCTGCGTTTCTCCATGGCGGTGTTGAACTCTATTGCTAGCCTAAAATAGCAGCCTGATGTTTAAAAACCTGATGTTAATTGTTGTGGATTGTGTCATTTCGGCTGTGACACTCCCATAAGAAGGCTTTTACCGGTCTAGGTGAATTCACTGTATCCAGTATGAAAACAGCAAATAAGTGCTTGGTGTTTGATAAACTCTGATTTTACAAGCTAAAATAGATTCTAAAGAGAGACTATGGAGTTAGACAAGAATAGTGGAAGAGTAGATTTGAAGGCCGTACTTAGCAGAACCCCTGTGGCTCTGGGGCTTACGTCTCCCCCTTCATGTCTCAGACCCTCTCTTTGTTTCTGTTTGCATAGGCTCATAGAAATGTTGGACGTTAGGGACCTCTGAAGGTCGTTGACTCCAAGCTCCCACTTGAAGTGCCAGTGTCCCCAGTACTAGATCAGGTCAGTCAAGGTTTCAGGTGACTCTTGAAAACCTCCAGGGATGGAGATGCCACCCTGGAATCTCCTCTCCATATTGCATAGGAGCTGCGTAATCAAACTAAGGCCACGTAATGTGCAAGATGAAAGGAATAAGGAAAGGTGATGATGAATGGCAAGTATGACTTGAGTGAGTAATGAAAAAATAAGGAAAGGAGAAGGTTTGGAAACTTGGATCTTGAAAGACAGACTTCAAGTCCTGTGCTACTCTTGGTGTCATTGAGGAATGCCTCCCTGAATGTGTCTGCTTTTAAGACCA